CCTCCCACGACATTTTTAAGGTCTATTACACTTTATATGTGATCCTTTGTGCTAACTCTTTTATCAAAATTTATTATTGTATAAATATTATGATTTGTAATACGAGAGTAGTTCTGAAATCATTTAATTAGAAGGGCATATTTTAAAAATGATTTGTTTGTTGGAAGTTAAGCACAAAGCTACACGATGGGCTATCTGTGGTCTGCCCACCACGGGTATCGAAACCCGGTTTCTAGCGTTGTAAGTCCGCAGATATACCGCTGTGCCACTTGGAGCATATTAAAAATGAATGAGCTATTGAAATCATTTAATAGGTATGACATATTTTTTAGATAAAAGATATTTTTAAAACATTTGATTAGAAAGAGATATATTGGAAATAGTTATTCTGGAATTATTTAATTGGAAGGATATGTTTTGAATACAAAGGAGTTTTTGAAATTATTTAATAATAATGAGGTATCTTGAAATAAAAGAGATTTTGAAATATTTTATTAGAATAACACAAGTTTTTGAAATTATATTATTAGACTTGTTGTTAAGCACAAAACTACACAATGAGCTGACTGTACTGTGCCCACAACGAGTATTTTATTAGAAGGTCCTTATTGTGTTGTTAATTAGTCATGAAATTATTCTTAATGAAATACCGAGTTTTTTTCTACGTGTTAGTTTGTTTTTTAATTATGCACAAAGCTCCACAAAGGCTATCTGTGCTCTGCCCACCACGGGTATCGAAACCCGGTTTCTAGCGTTGTAAGTCTGCAGACATACCGCTGTGCCACTGGGGGGGCCTACGTGTTAGTACCCGTAATTGAAATTTCTTAAACTGGATCTTAATTTGCAGGTACTTAATGGTAAAAATGGTACAGTCTCTTATTCAATACATAACAAGTATCTTAATACAGATTTGCATGAACTTGGAAGTCTATAGCTTTCTTTTGTAGTTCATAAATTAGAACTTAACGTACGTTTAGCCATGAAAAAAATCAGCGATAATATTTATCACGACAAGTTAACCAATGATTGTTGTTTAACTAATTCTAAAGCCTGCTTTCTAAATCAGTCTCGCTTGTCATTTTGTGGATCATTCTTTAGCATTCGACGCTAAAATAGTGGTTCAATCCCCGCGCTTAACACAGTGCACATGCGTAGTTTTTCGCTTAAATAAGAACAAAATATATTATTCAAATCAGGACAATGGTAAATTGAATATATACGTATATTACATACGCGTACTTTTTTATTTTTATGCGCCATGATATTATACTCAATGTCTTTCTCGTGTACTGTTTGTTTCCTGTCGTTCGGAGAGTGCTGGTAAAAAATTACACATTAATTTAAACATTCTACTTCTTCGGACTTCTCATACGTGCTGATATCGAATTGATCTTTCTTCGTTCACGAAAAATGCTAGCTTAAATTTAGGCGTACGATTAGAGCTTTTACTGTGATTTACTTTTAGCTACTGAGAAATATTGCGTTTTAAAAAGGGATTTTTTTTTTCTGGGAAAGTTGACTAACCTTAAGTTGCATCAAGGCCAGGTAACAAACAATACTTGCATTAAAGGAACTGGAGTTGAAATGGCATTTCATCACGAACTCGATCAAATATTGATAACGATTATCTTCAAATAAATACTTCATTTATAAATGTTTTCAGAATTATCAAAGAAATTCAAATCAGAAAGTTCTTTCCAGTTGGTTTTGTCCAACTTCGTGTCGATTGAAAAGTTGTACAAGCGAGGTTTTGACCTACATTTGGTAGACTATTGTTGTTAATGTTGATACTTCTTGAAATATATGGTCCAAGGTAATCCTATTAAAAAAAAACAAAGCTGCGATTTTCTTTTTGGACGTACAAATACGTTTTGAAACAAATAACATAAATCTTCTTCTTGGAAACAAAAATTGGCTTTTCTAGTTCTTTGTGGAAATAAAATATATTTCGCTAAGATACTCGGAAAATTTTCTGTGTACAGTTTTTATTCTGAAAAAAAAATTAATAGAACTCAGAAAGGTGTACTTTTTACCAAAAATGCAGTTTTTCATTCATGATCAGCCTAATTATATCCAACTACTGCACAGTTTGAAAGGAGAGTAAGTCGGTTACCTTCGATAAAAAAAAAGTGCAAACAACACTTAAGTTTGTTTGTTTGTTTTTGAATTTCGCGCAAAGCTACACGAGGGCTATCTGCGCTAGCCGTCCCTAATTTAGCAGTGTAAGACTAGAGAGAAGGCAGCTAGTCATCACCACCCACCGCCAACTCTTGGGCTACTCTTTTACCAACAAATAATGGGATTGAACGTCACATTATAACGCTCCCACGGCTGAAAGGACGAGCATGTTTGGTGTGACGGGGGATTCGAACCCGCGACATTCAGATTGCGAGTCGAGCGCCCTAACCACCTGGCCATGCCGGCCGTAACACTTAAGTAATAAGGATAGTTTATATTAATTTTGGAAATGTCTTGGCTTTATACACGAGGTATATGAATCGCTTTTTTTTTAAAGAAACATTTCGTTAAATATTTAAATAGCTCAACCATTTGATTCGGTTTCATTACGTTATCTTTCATGTAGAAAAACATAATGATAATACTTGTTTATATAAGGATCTTGAACTGATATAACCACCATGACTCTGTATCACAGCATGTTGAACAAATCTCTAGGTTATCTGAAGATTTAGACGTTTCTAAATGGTTTTATGTATTTCTTTAGTTAATATCATAATGTACATATTAAAATACGTACGAGTGAACACCTCCTGAAAACTGCTCATAGTAAAAAGAAAAAAAAAAACCGCGAACGCTAGCTAGCTGGTTTTACGACACGTAAAATATTTCTGTATATGGACAGTATGTGGAAGAAGCTTTCGGCCTCAAATCAACATTCTCGGTGATTCACGAAAGTACTAATATTAACGTATAGGTGGCGAAGTATATTTGGTTTACTTTCTATTTCATGTGACGTCACTGACAAAGGTACCGAGTCCGCTTAGTCACGCAGTTTTGATTGGCTATCTTAACATTTCGTCAGAGTCAGGTTTTTATGAACAAACAGTGCGCTCAGGTACAAGGCTCAAAGCTACATTCGACAATAGAAAGTGTGTTCGTATGAGACAGCATATTTAAGTTTAATCGTTTGAATAAAAGACATAAAGTTAGTAAAATAAAAATAAAAAAACTGAAGCTGAAACTCACTGACTTGTTGTCTCTTGCATCGTATGGAGTAAAATATTTCTAATTCATTTCGATTTAGTAGGAAAAAAGAAAGAGTGAAAGTTTAAAGATGGGTCATATAAAAACTAGATTCGTCAAAGAAGTGGAAAATTTGAGTGGTTCAGCAGATGTGGAAAAACTTCGGCAGAGATTTCTTAAATATCTAGAAGAAGAAGATTGGACTGGTAAGTACAGTTATGTCCTATAATCTTTACAGCAACATAATAAGTTTAGAATGTAAGCTAGAGGATAACTTCGAAAGACTCTTCATTGGCGTTGAATTTTTATACTTTTTGTTGGACTTGAAAGATCAGAATGGGGGGAGGCTCTTGTCGATGGGCCCCCCAGTTAGCGATATTAGCCCCAGACTTTTACCGGAGGGCCTAGTCACACAGATATGTAATTGTACGCTCTTTACGTGTGGTGAAGTATACGTATAAGTCCATATCTTCTCTGCCCCCCCCCCCAGTTGGACAGCGGTATGTCTGCAGACTTACAATGCTAGAATCCGGGTTTCGATACCCGTGGTGGGCAGAGCACAGATAGACCACTGTGTAGCTTTGAGCTTAATTACAAACAAACGAACTTGTCGATGGTAAATACAAAAGACGACGGTTTGTAGTGGTTAGTTACAAAATCAGTAATGGATCTAAAACAACTGCCCCTTGCTGTTCACCCTGACGTCTCTTTTGGCATTGATAAATAAGTACAGATAAACTCGCTTTTATTTTTGGAGGTTGTGGTAAACGAGTCTGCGTACAGATGTATCTTAGCTGGGAAAACTGTAACCGTAGTACAATCACTTCCAGAAATGTTAAATTTTAAGTTACATTCAATTAAAAATAATAATAAACCAAGTTACACTAGCGTTCGAGATGATAAGTACAGGCGAGTAAACGCGTTCCTATCTATCAGTAGAGGATGACGACGAATAAGAGAAGAAAGCACTTCTCAGTACACTACTCTTTTATTAACATATTCAGAAAATTAAAATGTAAGGAATATGATTGGTTATTCATTCCTCGTGTGTAGCGCGTGTCCGTACAGTCAGAATTACTTGACCAATAGAATTTGCCATAAAAATAATATTCGTGTTTTGTGTCACGGTAGTTCATAAAATATTGTAAGACGTGAGAAAAGAGTTATGAAATAATGAATTTACGATTTTTTCTAAAGAGCTTGTTTGGAGTTAAGCACAAAGCTACACGATGGGCAATCTGTGCTGTGCCCACCACGGATATCGAAGATATAGGGTCATTGGCGAAAATACACGATCATTAGTGATGATATAGGGTCATTGGCGAGAATACACGGTCATTAGTGATGATATAGGGTCATTGGCGAAAATACACGGTCATTAGTGATGATATAGGGTCATTGGCGAAAATACACGGTCATTAGTGATGATATAGGGTCATTGGCAGATACGTGAAAATGTTACGTTTTACTGCTGATTCAATTCTCGGGCGAGTTTTGTAACGAAAAGTTGAAGCACAAATATAAGACTTTACAACCATACGAGTCGAGAGGTAAGAGAAAGAGTGCGGTGTAGTGACTTCAGTTCATGAGTGGTAGTACCAGAGTGGTTTCGCACAGAGGCTAGAAACCCCATCTTTTTTGACATGGACTGATTTATGTCACTCTGACCTTCTCTTATAGTCACCCTTACTGAGCCATTTATCAAAATAGTGATGGTTACTTCTTTTCAAACTAATATAATACAAAGTACTCAAATAGTGCAAGCAGTTGTGTAATAGATTAAGAACTATCGTAATGTAGTTTACATTGCATGTAGCTTAAGATGGAGTACTTAAACAGTTAGTGTTCAACGAAGTAACTCCCTTTCTTCGCAAATTTATCTGAAATTATTAATTAATGAACACGTTGCCTCACATTTTCCTCCTAGCATACGTTAGCCAGTGGTAAGTTTACGGAAATTAGAGCGCTAAAATCCGAAGTTCGATTCTCCGCGGTGAGAAGAGCGCAGTCTATTGCGTAGCTTTGCGCTGAAACAAACAAACAAATCTTCTGGCATTTAACACCAGTATCAAAAGCTGAAACATCTCGTAAGAACAATGACTACATTTTACAATATTCTTGTCTGATATTGGTTTTTACCTAATAATAACTACTGCAGGTTACATTTATGGTGTTTCATACATTTACCAATGCATAGTGTTTGTATCTTTAAACTGTTAAGTAAAACCACTCTAGATCTATTTTGTAGTAAAAACATTTTCTTTATAGGCAAATGACCAATCATTTTTACCGTTTCTAAAGCATTGTTTTTGAGGAATTTGGTCATCATACACTACGAAAAAAGACGATCATGTTTATTATAAGGATATACCAGTGTAGTGGGCAAAGACTACATATTTCGAGTATATTTTTTTATTTACATAAATTTCTAAATCCGGTTGAGGTCATATGGTAAATCCAACTGGTGTGTTACTTTTTGTTACTGATCTTACTGTTTCGTGTGATAGTTCCATTCTCAAGGACTAAAGACTTAAGGGAATACAGTCGTAGTCTATTTTTAGGGATTGTGCATTGTACCTGCTTGACTTTTTGATTGCTACATAGAACAGAGATATGTCAACATTAAGAGTACTTACTTGTATTCTGATTGGTCAGCTACAGAGATAGAGAAAATATGTTCTGTGAGTGCAGTCTTGGGGCTATCAAGAGAGATTCGTTCTGACCTCTAATAGCTTTTATTCTCAGCCATTGGTTGCACGGTAGCATTAACTTATAGCCACGAGCATTCACCCTACACCATGGAAGGAGGCAGAGGTCATCTTAGGTCACTCAAAATCTTGACTTTAATCCAGTATAGAACAAAAGAACCCGTTTCTTGACACTTTTTGATCTCTGTATTAATTCTATATTCGTCATGTATGCTAATCGTATGAGTTTACTTTACTTAACCTTTAAATTTAAACCTATCAACTACACGATCAGCTCCAGTTCTTCAGAAAGCAAAGTGTCTCACTTTCTTGTTTCAAACTGTCGTGTCTTGTCTCCTTCGATCCACTTGTAACAGACCACTGCATTTTGTTACTTGCACGAACCGCTTGCTTTTGCGGAGATCAGGTGATTCTGCGCAGGTTATCCTCGAATTACCACCCCTGAATGACATTTGTAGTGGAAATAAGTTTACACATGACCTTCAAACTTGGCACTCTTTTCTTCCTGGTGACAAAAAATAAAATATACTTTTAATTATTCTAAGCCTCATAAAACAAACGTAAACATGTATAGCCAACTTAAAATGCTTACTTCTTTCATTGACTTCGATGAAACATTGCACTTTGATAAATACTTATAGTTGGCCTTCATCATATTTTGTCCAGCCCTCCATTCAAAATACTACACAAATGAAAAACAAAAACAATAACAGCGGTTTGTTTGTAATTAAGCACAAAGCTACACAAAGGGCTATCCGTGCTCTGTCCACCAAGGGTATCGAAACCCGGATTCTAGCGGTACAAGTCCGCAGACATACCGTTGTGCCACTGGGGGGGGGGGGCAACAACAGCGGAACATATTATGACAAACTCCACACTACTGGAGAAGGTACAGATTGAGCGTATGAACTTTCATTATTTATAACCTGAAACAAGTACAGGAACATATTTCGAAGTACAGAATAAGGACGAAGTAATCGTCTGAAAAGTATTTCAAGTAATAGCTTGAATATATTTCACTGTTACATCATAAGTGACGTGTTTTTGAAAATAATTAAATACATTTACCCATCCCTCGTTTATTTTTGAGATAGAACACTTTCTAGCTCTAAAGTTCCACAAGAAAAAAAAACCTTTTTGTTGAAATCCTCTTTTCTTGTTATAAAACGTTTTTTTTACTGCAATGAAGCGTTTGATTTACTTGGGGTAAAAACTTATTTGTTTTTTTTTTCTCAGGTCTGTATGATCCACGAGATGTGCAACGTCTGAAAAACGACGATTACTATTGTAAAAGAATTTTGAGACACCAGTCTGGAAATGTAAATAGTGCTGTGGAATCAGTCAAAAATATATTCAAATGGCGACAAGAAATGGGTATTAATGGTTAGTTTAGTTTTTTCTTTATATTTTGGCCCTGTGACAATAAAAAAAAAAATTTTAAATACTTGTAATACAATTCCGTTGATTTCGAGTAAAATCATCGACATGGCTGTTTGTCCATATATGACAACTGTTATGAAGAACTTTTTTAAAGCTTCGAGTTTTATAATAGACATATTAAGTAAACTTAAATATCGTAAATAATTGACGTCCAAATGAGGCAATAATATCAACGTGTACTTTAGAAATATGTGTAGGTGTTTCATTTAAAATCATATCGACTATTTACTCTGTCTATTATGTTAATTGCAGTGACTTCCTTTTTAACGTAGTTACAAATGTTCCTGTATTTGTAATCATTATAGTATACTAAACTAGTTTATATATATAAAAGGCTCGTATAGTAAAAGGAAACTTTTTTCTTCACTCAGACATACTTAGCCTCTTACATATTTTTTTTTCATAACTTAAATACAATTTCATGCTTTTTTTTTACTTCTCATGAAAAATAATATATTGTTATACCATTCTTGAGCGTTTGAACTTAATTTAAACAATACTACCCTGAAAAAAAATATTGTTACACCATTCTTTAGCGTTTGAACTTAATTTAAACAATACTACCCTGAAAAAAATATTGTTACACCATTCTCTGGCGTTTCAACTTAATTTAAACAATACTACCCTGAAAAAAAAATACATCATTCTTTGGCGTTTGAACTTAATTTAAACAACACTACCCTGACACCACTTTTCCAAAGCTATTAAAAGAATGAAAGAAACCTATTAAGTACCGTTCAACCTTGTAGAACAAAACTAAATCCTGGAAACTCACTATCTGACAAATAAAAGTTTTTTTCTATAATTTAATATGTGTGGTGTAAATTATTATTTTTACCCCTGATATTTTTTAACACTTATTTTATTTATCTATGATAATTTTTCCATTTTTTTAAGTTCTTTCTACTTAACAATTTCTTGTTAATCGACTTTCATAATGTATCTTTATTAATACCCAACACAGTTTCCTAGCCTATTTATATCTAAGAGTTATATTGTTTCTTATTTTTCACACTTGTACAAAAGATATTACATTAAAAAACATATAATAATAATACAATAAAATACAAATAATACAAGTAAATCCATTTTGCTTGTAATTGATAAAATTGTGTAAGTTTTTCTTTGCTAAAAAAATTATTATTTTTCTCCAAAGATCTAACTGAAGACGATATAGATCCAGAGATCGTTAAGATAGGCGCTGTTTTTTCATACAATAAAGATAGAGAAGGAAGTCCATTATGTAAGTATAGTTATCTTTCCCTCAAAAACATATTAATATCATGGTATAGAGGGTGGTCCAAATATTAGATGCCTCCACTTATAAACCTTTGCCGTGTGAATAACATTTCATTTGCAGCCATGATTATGACCTCTTTACATATACTCGTGCATTAACCTGGATCAGATGGGCATCAAAAGAGACTTAGTACACTGCTATGGAGCTGTTCACTTGTACTCGTGCATTAACCTGGATCAGATGGACGTCAAAAGAGACTTAGTACACTGCTATGGAGCTGTTCACTTGTACTCGT